CAACCCTCACCCTGATTTCATATTTTGGGAGGGCTCATCCAACCCTCCAATGTCCCATTTTGGGGGGATTCTGCAAACCCTTCCATGTCTTATTTTGGAGGGGGTGTTCATCCCATCTTCCAATGTCCCATTTTGGGGGGGGTTCTGCAAACCCTCCACTGTCTTATTTTGGGGGATTCCTCCACCCCTCCAATGTCCCATTTTGGGGGAGGGGGTTCTGCAAACCCTCCAGTGTCTTATTTTGGGGGGAGGGGTTCATCCCATTTTCAGTGTCCCATTTTGGGGAGGGAGTTCTGCAAACCCTCCAATGTCCCATTTTGGGGGAACTTCTGCAAACCCTCCAATGTCTTATTTTGGGGGGGGGGGGTTCATCCCCTCTTCCAGTGTCCCATTTTAGGGGATTCCTCCACCCCTCCACTGTCCCATTTTGGGGGGAGTTCTTCCACCCCTCCACTGTCCCATTTTAGGGGGTTCCTCCACCCCTCCAATGTCCCATTTTGGGGGGGTTCTGCAAACCCTCCAATGTCCCATTTTAGGGGATTCCTCCACCCCTCCAGTGTCCCATTGTGGGGGATTCAGCCCCTCTTCCAATGTCCCATTTTGGGGGGTTCCTCCACCCCTCCAATGTCCCATTTTGGGGGAGGGGGTTCTGAAAACCCTCCAATGTCCCATTTTGGGGGTTCAGCCCCTCTTCCAATGTCCCATTTTGGGGGGACTTCTGCAAACCCTCCAATGTCCCATTTTAGGGGATTCCTCCACCCCTCCAATGTCCCATTTTGGGGGAGGGGGTTCTGAAAACCCTCCAATGTCCCATTTTGGGGGTTCAGCCCCTCTTCCAGTGTCTTATTTTGGAGGGGCTTCTGCAAAGCCTCCACTCTCCCATTTTAGGGGGTTCCTCCACCCCTCCACTCTCCCATTTCGGGGGGGTTCAGCCCCGATGTCACTCTCTGGACCTGCACCTGTCCCTCTCCCTCGCCGGCCCCGTGCCGGGACGGGGCCAAAAATAACTTTTTGGCGAGCTCGTCCTTTGCCTAAATTAGTCATTAGGGTAGGTGGAAATGTCACCCCTTTTGACAATTCCCCCTGGGGAGGCTCAGAGGTGTGTGTGGATATAATTAAGTCGCCTTTTTTTTCCTCCCTGCCTCTCCTTTCCACTCCTTTATTCCCCAATTCCCGTTTGATTAGTTGAAACCAAGAAGGAAAAATTTCCTCTAAACTTCTACTAGGGGGAAAAAATTTAAAAAAAAAAAAAAAAGGGGAAAGGAACTTAATTTTAATTTAATTTTTTTTTTATTCCTTTTAGTCGAGCTGTTGGGAGTGTGGAGAGGCTGAGAAGTGAATCCACCCGGACTGTCTCCCTTTGACTCTTTAGGAAGAACTTTTTGGAACACTTTATTTTATATATATTTATTTGACAAAGCCCTAAAATATTATAAATCCAGCGAGTCTCCTCCTCCACAGTTTATTTAAGTAAAATAAACCTTTTTAAGGTAAGTTCAATCTACCTGAGCTACTTCCTCGAGTAAATACCTCTCACTCTGTGCTTTAATTTGAATTATTCCAGCTGCTTCTAAAATTGTCTCAGCAATGCCAGGTGAAGGCAGAGCTACCAACAGCATTTTTTTTCTCTCTCAGATGTGAACTCTGTAATATTTAAATAATATCTTGCCTTCAATCACCCAAATAATTGTGTGCCTTTATAAAATCACTCTGTGCCAGGCCACTGTTAAAAGTATTAAAGGTTCCTTGTCCTGCAGCGGGTTGCAACTGTAAAAAAAGTTTAGTAAAACCAAAATTTAGGGGTTTGGGGTCCTGTTGGGTTTCTTTGCAGCTTTGGGGTCTGCAGAGCTGATCCTGGCCCCGTGTCCTTGTCCCAAGGGATGAGTGGGAAGCAGCTGGATCGTGGAGTGAGTTCCCTGTGCCCACAGCAGTGCAGAGATGCTGCTTTAATTCTGATTTTTGGGTGGTACCTCCATCACCTGCTCACTGGCTGTGAAGTGTTTTGCCTTGAGCTTTTCAGCTCTTGCAGTAAAAACCCCAAATATCCAAGATTTCCCCCCTAAGGATCCAAAGGAAGTGTTTTTAATTCCTAAAAATGCCCCCTCCCCAGGGCAGGGTGGGCACAGCTCCAGCCTCCCAAACTGTGGCTAATCCAGATCAAGATGCACTTTGGGGTGTGGGGACACATTTTTTGGAAGTTCTCCTATAAAAATATAGATATTCAGATTTCTCTAGGATCCTACAGAATATTTTAATTCTGGCAGCAAATGGCACCTCCTCTGTCCCATTATCCCCTTATTAATCCCCCCAGGATTTTATGGATACTTTTCCTGAAATTATGCAACCATTTAACAACATCAGCTTTTATTCAGAGCTGCCCCTAAGCTGTTAATTGTTTAAATTCAATTTAACTTGAATTTTTCTCTTTCAGACCTGAGGAAAGTGATTGTGGCCTAAACCCCTCCTTTGTCTCACCCCAGCTGTGTCTGTTGGGCTAAAAATAATAAAAAAAAAGAGGTTTATTTTTCTCTACAAAGCTGTTTTCTGCTCCTCAACCACAAGGCCAAGGCCCAGTGCTTTGACCATGAATAAACAAGAGCTGCAAATTAGGAAATTATTAACTGCCAGAGGTCAAGATTCTGGAGGTCTTGCAAGTGAAGAGGTGGAAGGCAATAAAAGAAATCAGGTTTAAAGGTAGAACCTGATAAATTTGTGGGTGGGAACAGAGCAAATGAGCTTTTCCAGTTTTATTTCTGGGTGATTCCACTTATTATTTATGGTCAATATTAATGGACAATTGGTTGTTCCCAGAGAAACCACTTGTAATTACACATTCACCGTGTTTTCCAAGGTAAAGTGGTAATTCCAGAGGAATTTGGAGCTTGGATTCTTGGATTGGAGTGAGCCATGACTCCCAGGGAAGCTGCATTTCCAGTGAGGAGTCCCCACATCAACCTCTCAGCTGGGAAAAAATCGGAAAAACTCACCTAAAATTACCTCCCTGCTCGACATTTTGATGCCTTTTATTGCTTTTCCCTCCCATCCCTGAGCTAGGAAAGTGTCTGGGTTAAGAAACCAGATTCCAGGGATTATTTTGCCATGTTTGGAGGGGGAAAAAAAAACCCCAGGAAGCTCCAAAGTTGTGTCGGAGTCCTGAGGGGACACCGGGCTCTGGTCACCTCTGCTCCAGTTCTTTGCACTGGGGACCTGCTAATCCAAATATTTTTGGAACATGCTGCCCTCAGGAGTGAAGTTTGGGTTCTGCCCAACTTGGATTTGCCAGGGGGGAACACGGTTCAGGATTCCAGGTGGGGTTTTTAGCCCTGGAAAAAACAAAATATCTAGAGAAACAATGGATTTCCAGTGCTGAGAGCAGAGAATAATTGTGGCAGGATCTGGCTGAGCTGTTTGGGATCAGGGAATTCCAGAGCATCGTCCCACTGTCTCCACAAGGAATTATAACACTCTGTTTCTTCTGAAAACAGGAGGGATGAAGGACAAGAGACACATTTATTGTTATGGTGTGGTTTTGGTTTCTTTTTTTAAATCTCACAGCTGCAAACCTCATTCCTGTCAAGCACAAAAGCTCTTTTTTGGTGTAAAATCTCCTTTTTAAACCTTTTTCCCCCCTCACTGCTCCAAATCTTATTCCTGTCAAGTGCAAACCTCATTTTTCCTGGGTGTAAAATCTCCTTTTTAAACCTTTTTTTCCCCCCTCACCTCTCCCGTGGACGTTCCTGCCTTTCCCCGAGTTTGGTTTTAAGCTCCTTGCCGTGGTTTTTGCTCTCACCCCCTCTCCCTGCTCCTGCCCCCAAACATCCCGGGGGAGGAGGTGGCATTCACCCACATAGCTCAAATTCCCAAATTCCTGGCTGTCCCCTTTGGAGGTGCCATGTGCCTGCCTGTTTTTGGAGCTCACATTCCAGCTGCCCCCTGGCTCCTTCCCTCCCGAGTGACACCGATGGTGACACTTCCACTCCCCAGACACCCCAAACTTCCCCCAAACCGTAAAAACACAACTTATACAAGCGGCAGATGTTCAGAAATTATTTTTTGGGGGGGTGATTTACATTTTGGGCACCTCAAACTTCCTTTTTTGGGGGACTTGTTTATCCCCCAGCTGCTTTATCTGCCCGACACTTTACTCACACAAATGCCATTCACCGCCGGGCTTGAATCAAAGACAGGGAATGTTCCCTCTCTCCCCACGTTATTTTTAGGATACTAATGTTCACTAAAAGGGAATATTAATCTTCTTTGTTAAAAAAGGGAGCTAAATTTAGCAGGAGGCAGTTGAAGAACCGTGGAGCCATCGGGGTGTTGTTGCCCTGGGATGTTTTAGTTTCTGGGTGCCCACTGACCTTTCTGCACAATGTGACTCATCCCTCCTGCAGCTTTAATTCCCAGTTTTAAATCCCTCCCTAATCATAAGACATTGTTGATGGCCCCAAGGTTAGGCCAAGGTTCCTCGTCAGAGGCAAGGAATGAGAACAATTTTCCCTCAGGAACGTTGAAATTTGGGGTTATTTGTTCTTTCCTCCTTCTCCGAGGCCCGGGGAGGTTCCTGAACCCTCCCTGGAGGAAGGTGGGTTTTTATTGGGAGGAAAAATGGGAGAACATCATGAGAGCAGCACTTTGTGAACCTCCAGCAGCTCCCAGTGAGGAAAATCCAAGTAGTGGAATAAGGAAGTTAATTAGTGTAATGCTGGGGTGTCCTGTGCAGGGGTGAAGTTGAGCTGGATGATCCCTGTGGGTTCCTTCCAACTCAGAATATTCCAAGATTCCATGAAAATCCTGAATGAAGAACAAGAGGGTGAAGGGAATAAAAGGAACAGATTAATCTGGAGTGAGAGGAAAGGGAAAAGTGGAGCCCAGGGGCAGCCAGCTGGTTAGTGAGGAATTCCAACCAGAGATGGAGGAATCCTTCTGGATTCTCAGTTCCCAAAATATCAGATTTTAGGGGTGTTTCACTACCCACACTGCTCTTCCCAAACTTTTCCTCCCTGGAGCCCTTTGGAGCTGTTGACTGTGATGCTCCAAGAAAGGACCTTCCTTGGAGTCCAGTGGAATTTTGTGTCATGGAATTCGTGCCTAGAGAGGCAAAAATGGGTAAAATATGCCAGAAATGCCCTGTTTGGGGATCTGTGTGGTGCCAGGTAACCATTGCAGTAATTCCAGGGATAAATCTTTACAGAAATGCCAGATATTTCCAGTGTCACTGGACAGCTGGAATGTGTTTGTGGATGTTTGATGTTAAATTATATCACTGTAAATTAAAGTAGCAAGGAATTAAAAGCATTTTTAAAGAGTAACAGAATCCCAATTTTTTATCTCTCTGGTTTATATTCCAGGAGAGGAAATGTCTAATTTTACTCCTCACTTTTGGCCAGTCTGGACTGTGCTGATGGATGAGAGGAGAGGGAGCAGGAAAATGAAGGAAGAGAAGGAATAAAACATGGAATAAGTGCTGAGGTTTTTCCCAGCAGACACACAGGGAAGGAGCTGAGCTGGGAAACGTGTTGTCAGCGTGACATGATCCATCCAACATTCCCAAATATTCCCAGGTAGGTTTGACAGACTCTTCCAAACCAGCCTGAAGAGGGAACAGAGAGACAGCAGAGGGAACTTTCCCTTCTCCTGCTGTTGAAATTCCTGCTTGGAGGTTTCCCTGACCCTTGTGCCTCTGGAATTCCCAGACCACCATCCTCCCACTGCACCTGCCCCTTTGGAGACACTCCCTGTCCCAAGGGGGAATTCCTGAGGGGAAGGATTCCAAGGGGAAGCCTTTTGGGTTGTTGGAGCTCAAAAAAAACCCAAAAAGGAACCTCAAGAGAGCAAATAATTCCTCTGGGCTTGGGAAGAGGAAAGGAAACCACAGGATTCCTGTTTCTCACCCACAGGAGGTGCATTCCTGGATAAATTATCACTTTTACACCTTTTCTACCAATTCTAAATGTTACCAATAATCTTTCTGCTCTTTCCCACATCCTTAGCACTCCTTCCCAGTTTCTTCCCAATCCTTCCTCCCCGTTTTCTGCTCCATCCCAACCCCTGCCAGACCATCCTGGTGGATTTTTGGGGGGTGGGATCTCTCCACAAGAGAAGGGGTTAATAAAGAAATGAATAAATAAATAAATATTTGGAATTTGGGACAGGGTTCATGGTGGTAGAACCATTAATCACTAACCTTGATTTGTTTGCCTGCAGCTCCACGGACTAAAAACAACCTGAACACAACAATTCAGGGAACTGAAACATTTTGGCCTTGAAGGAACGAAAACAATGTCGAAATGGGTCGGTGTGGTGCAAGAATCACCTGTAATTTCTCCTTTTTTACCATTCCAGGTACAAAATCTTCCTCTTACACCTCACATTTGGGCATTATTCTGTCCAAAGACTGGAGTTTTCTGGGGTGGATGTTCCGTGAGGGGCTGAAAACCCCCGACTGGAATGTGTTGGCTTCCTCTCCTGCTTCAAATCTCTTCTCCAAACTCCAGCATTCCCTGATTAATCTCCAGCCTGGGCTTACTCAGGGAAACCCAGAGCTTTGGAGCCCGTTGGATTGTCAAACAAAAGCTCAAATCAACAGCAAGTCCCAAACTCAGCCAGGAATTAACCCAAGGTGACAAACTGAGTGATCAAAGTGTGGGTCAGGAAAGGAAGGAATGTTCCACCACTTTCTCTTTTCCACTTGTGTTATCCCTTTGTTTTCCTCCCCTGGGGTGTGATTCATTTTTTCAGGGATGAATCCCAAAGGATGTGTGTGTGTGTGTGGTGTAAAACTGGATATTCCCAGAGTAGTGGAGGGGGAGAAACCTCACCACAGAGTGATTCATCCCCTCCCAAGGCAGGTGAAATCATCTCTTGTCATCCACTAAACTAATTTTAGGCTCAATATCTCATTTTTAAGTTGATAAAACGAGGTGGGATCTCACCCCCTCACGTGGAGTTTAATTGTTCAGGGGGAAATTCTAATTGTCTTAAACTGGGAATCTTTGGCTCCTCTTTGTGAGGGATCAGGATCAGCCACTCTGGGAATATTCTGTGCCATAATTAGCCCAATCTTGAATATAATTTCATTCAGTGAAGGGAAGAACCTGCACGTGGGTGAAGAGATTCCCACTTGGATGACAGTTTAATTCACAACTCGTGTGACAGGAGAGATTCCAGCACTGAGGAGGTGGGAAAACACTGATTTATCACTCCCTGATTTGTCACTCCAAGTGCAAAACTGAGGTGGAAACAGGAAGGGATTTTTCTGGTTTGGAGGAAAAAAAAAAAGAACAAACCAGGCTTTTAAAAACTATTTTTACCTTGCTGTGGTGATAATTTTTCTTATTTTTTTTTTCCTGCCTTAAAATTAGAGCTGGTGAGGAAGCAAATGTGAGATCCAGAAAGGCAGAGGGAAATTTGGGTGGGTTTCAGGCTCCAAATTAAAATTAAATGAGGCATGAAAATTCCATGGCTGGAATAGAAAAACATCTGGAAAATTAACCTGACATTTTGTTAATCCCAGGTGCCACCAGCCTGGATAAAAGGAATATAAATAAATATAAATATACCCTGCATCACTTGTAGAGTGGAGAGGAGTGAGGTGAGTGCCCAGCTCATCCTGAAAGGCTTTTCCTGCTTCCCAGGATGATCTTTTTTGGCTTTTAAAGTCTGATGAATGTAAAGAGTAACATAAAAAATTGCAGCAGAATGTAAAGAAGAATATAAAATTGCAATAGGGAGACCTGTATATTCATATTTCCAATTCATGAATTGACATGTGGTAATAACTTATCTAAAGCCACTTAAACAGCTCTAGCACCTTCCTGTAAATACTTCACTTTTTTTATAATAAAAACCAGCTCTAGCACCTTCCTGTAAATACTTGATTATTTTTATCATAAAATAATTTGATATGAAATTAATATAAAAATTATAGTTATAAATATATTTAAATTTATATATAAAATATAAATATTTATATTTAATAAAAAAGTTTATTGGGATTTGGAGTTTTTTTCTGTTTAAGCAGCTTTGAGTTGTTGGTTTTTTTGTGTGTGTTTGGTGTTATAATTTAATTATAATTCTAATTTAATTCCCAGTCACGTTCCTAATTGGATTCTAAAAGCAGATGTAAAAATAAAGTGTGATTAAAAAAAAACTTGAGACGAGTGGAGTTGATGGAAACCTGAGGAAAGCAATTTTTTCCATGACTCTTTGCTAAAGCTGAAGGAATCTGGGAAAGATCATCCTCCAGAATAGAAGTTATTTTCATAAAAAAAAAACCACTTTGAGATGTTAATTTTGCAGTGTCAGAATTTCCAGGGAGTACTTTGAGTGCCTTTCTTCCAGGGAACAGCATCCAAAGGAAAAAATTTCCATCATATTTTCCACATGGAGCCGAAGTCTAAATAAAAACTACTGACAAAAAGAAACAAAAAAAAAAACAACAGAAAAAGAAAAAAAACCAGAAAATGAAAAAAAAAAAAGAGAAGAGGATACAGTTTTGCTGAAGGATTAGTCTCATTTTAATTGAATATCCACAGATTTTTTATGGAATAATACAAAGCAAAAAAAAATCTGAATACATAGAGAACAGAGATCTAGGTCTGCTACCACCAACCACCTAATTACAAACACGGTAGAAAAATGACATTTCACACGTTTTGTTTGTTTGGGTTTTTTTTACAGGTCGGTTTGGGTTGAAAGGACCCACTGGAAAGGAAAAAGAAAACAACCTGAAATTGTGGTTTCTTGTCATGGTGAGTCAGAAAATTCACTTTTACCAGTAACATGCTGCATTTCTGCCTGCCAGGAAATCAGGAAACACAAAAGAGAAAAACATGTGCTTGTGTGTTTAGAGCCATTTTTCTGTCCCTTTTTCACCCCCTGGCAGGTTATTCCCACCTGCCTTTCCTTCACTCCCGTGGTTTTTAATCCCTAGAGCTCTAAAAAAAAAAGAAAAAAAAAGAAGATTTATCACCTTTCAAACCTTTCCCACCGGGGTCTCTCATCCAGGTGTTTGCAAAAAAAAAATGGGATGGAAAAAGTGCCATGAGGGAAGCTCTAAATATCCACTCACATTTACACAGTACTGTACAGAAAAACTTGGATTAGATCCAACTGGAATATACAGCAGCAGCATCCCAGTTTTAATTCCTTGTGTCTTCCTTGTGGCTCGGGATGAAAATTTCTTGGATGGTCCCAAATCTGGATGATCCTCCATGAAAAAAAAAAAACCAAAACCCATAAAACCAGAATAGTTCTGGATCTGAGAAGTGCCTGGGACAAATCCTGTGGCAACCTGGAGGAGATGGGAAGGTAAAATTCCCAGCCTGGAATCAAGTGTAGAGGAAGAAATCTGATTTTTTTTCAGGCTGTGAGGTGAAGTTCAGCCGTTAAATCCACCCCGAGGGAAGAACAGAGATTGTTGTGAGCATAAAATAACTTCTCCTGCAGCTCAAATGTGGCTTTCCATGAATTCACCATGGAAAAAAACCACCTCCTTAAGGTGGAATCCAGGAGCAGAAGCTGTTTTGTGCAATACACTGAATATTAAGTCCGAATATTGATCCTCCAGAAGTGGTTTTATGAGGCAGAAACGAGGCCTGGAGCACACTGGGGACACTGGCCAGTCCAGCAGGATTGTTAAAGGGATGCAGGTGATTTAATTTTAAATTTTAAACCTATTTTTAGGTCTATATACTGGTCAAAGTTATGATATAAATACACTTTTAGCAGCAACAATTCAGTTTTATCCACACCCAAGTGAGTTTTGTCACTCCATGTCTGGGAAAGGGACACCAGCTTTGGGTGTTTCTGTCCAAGAATTTGTAGCTTTTTTTTTTTTTTTTAGGCAAGTAACACCTAAAATCAGTGTCTGAAAGAAGGGAATTATTTGTTTAAATGTGTTGCTATGAAATGCAGTTTTTACATTTAAACTCTAATTTATCCTTTGTGGGCTGCAGGTTCTCTGTGTGGAAAAGACACATAAATATCATCCATCCATCCATCCATCCATCCATCCATCCAGGAACATAAAACTTTAGACACTCATAAAATCCTCTTACAAAATTAAAATACAGTGCAATCCACTCCCTCAGAAAGTGCACTTCTTGAAAAAAAAAAAAAGAACTTTAAAATTGACTTTTGTGCATTGAAACAACTGACTGAGGTGGGATCTTGGAGTGAAAATCGGTGATATCTCCTTTCCACGGCTGAAATTCCCTTTTCCCGAAGGAATTACTTGGAAAAAAAAATGAAGTTTCATCCTCACATTCCTCTCATTTCATTTTTTCTGACAATGTAGGCAGAGTGTCTTTGGAAAGAAAGAAAACAACCCAAAAATCACATTCTTGTGGGGTGGAAGTGTCTGAGGATCCAGAGCCTCTCTGTTCTTCCAGGGCCCAAAATTGAAGGAAATCAAGGTTTTCCTGATCTTCCACATCCATGTTTTCCAGAACAGCAACATTTTCCATGAGGTTGTGAATGTTTTTAATGGATTTGATGCCCACAAAAGCTTTCTAGAGTTGGAATTTTACCCCATTATTAAATGTTTTATCCAGTTAATTCACTGTATAACTGCAAACTTCCCTTGCAGGGCCCGACTGCACCATGTCCTCTGTGGAAAGCTGATGGGGTTTTTTTGTCTAAATACATAAAAAACAGCCTCAAAAAGAAAAGAGGAAAATCAAATTTAAATGTTATCAGTCAGGAGATGGTGAATTCACAGAGACCACGAGGAGATTTGTGATTGTTCCCGGTTGGGAGCTCAAATTAATTGAATCAGGAAAAGTCCTTTCCTTAATTTCAGTGGGTTGCTCAGCCCCTCTGACAGAGCCAGCTCTGCAGATGGGAATTCTATTTGGGAATTCTATTTGGGAATTCTATTTGGGAATTCTATATTTGGGAATTCCTGGCTGCTGCTGCTGCTTCTTCCTCCAAAGAGTTCCCCGACTGGGAGCTCAGCAGGGAGATGTCACTTGGCAGAACCCAAAAAAACCTGAAGGTTTTTGGGATTTTTGGGGTTTTTTTGTGCCCAGAATTCACATTATAGAATCCCAGGATGGGTTTGGGGTTGGGAGGGACCTTAAAGCTCATCCAGTTCCATGGGCAGGTTGCTCCAACCTGGCCTTGAAATCCTTTGTCGATAATAATAATAATGATAAATAAATTTAAAATAATGTTTCCAGAAAGCTGTGGAGCTCGATGCTTGTTTGGTGCTTGTTATTAACATGCCAAGGAGATGGAATGGGGAGGGTTTTTTTCCATCTTCACCCATCCTGGGTGGATGCTGTGGGTGCTCTGCTTTTCATGCAAAGGTCTGGTCAGCAAATACACCCAGTATGAGAACGGGTCTCAAAGGAGAACTGACCTTAAGAAGTAAATATTTGGTGCTTCTTTGTAGCATTCAGGGAAATAAAGATCTCACCCGTGGTGGTTTTACTCACTGAAAGGAAAAAAAAAGAGCAGCTTTGTGTATCCAGAGGGATCCATCCCTGTCTTGAGGGAAATCTTGCTCGGCCAGAATTCTCCTGGAAATATCCTTGAAGTGGTGAAACAAGCAGGTGATTTTCCATCTGCAGGTGTCTGGGAGGGGTTTTACCTGATCCCAGAATCCCAGGATGGGTTGGGTTGGAAGGGACCTTAAACTCCTCCAGTCCCACCCCCTGCCATGGGCAGGGACACCTTTCGCTATCCCAGGTTGCTCCAACCTGGCTTTGGACACTTCCAGGAATGGGGAGGTAACCTGGGTCTGGTGAAGTAACTTCCAAATAATTTTGGCCAGAGAGTTGTTCCTTAATTTACTTTCCCCCCCCCTCCTTTGTTCACAGGATCCTCACAAGTTCCCAGATCCAAATTTCCAGAGTCAACATCACACCTGCACGGCCACAGAAGCTGAACCCAGTCCCGTGCCCTGCGTTCTCCAGAGGGAGGGGATATTCCAGGCAGGAATGCTGATGGATGAGGGCCCTCAGGAGGGAAACTTCCAACATTTTAGCAGCTTGTCTCTGCAGTGGGAGGTATTTGACAGGGGGTGATTGTCCAGGGCCGTGACATCGAGGCGAAGACGAGGCGTGGAAACCGTTCCCGTCCGCGGGGCTCCTCCCGAACCCAGACCTTTTTTGGGATGTGTGTGGAGAAGATGCTCCCAGGAAGGTTCTGTGGAGGCTGCCATTCCACGGGGGGACTCCTTCAGAGCTCCCAGAGTGCCTTACACACCAGAATGGAACAAATCAGGGAAAAAAAATAAACCAAAACGTGGCATTTCCTCATGGGAATGAGGATTGAGGAGCTGGCAACGACTTCACTGAGACAACCAAGGCTGGAAGTGCTGCCAAGGCCGGTGGGCACTTGGTATTTTCAGGAAGAAACACACACTGGCTATAAAAAGGAGGGAAAAGCTCTTTTCATTGCCTGTATTAGTTATTCCCTGGGCTCTCGGGCTGTTGTGGAGGAACCTGGGGGTGCAACTTTAAAGCAAAAACGTCTCCGCGCTGGCCAGCAGCGAGTTCAGGTGGGTTTATAATTTAACCAACAAAATAAATCTCTTTCTGGGCTGGGGACTAATGGATTAGAGGGTGCTCTTAACTTACTACAAGGTGTGTATTTGCACTGTGTCACAGCTCTCCACAGACCATTCCAGAAACACGCCAGAACCTGTCCTGAAAAGTGCTTTTCTTGGCCTGCTTTGTTTCGTGGGGTGGTTTTTTTTTGTTTGTCTGATTGTTGTCCTTCTTCTTCTTCTTCTTTTTTTTTTTTTTTAAGGTAAAATGTTTCCAAAAAGGTTAAAGAACTTTGCATCTTGGAGACAGAGGAGGCAGGCTCTGGGATCTTACAGGACTTGGAATAAGATGGTGACAAGGTCTTGTCCCAAAAGGTCATTGCCGTGGGTGGCTGCCAGGCTGTGTCCTTCCACTCCATCCATCCACCTCCTGCTCCCATTCAGGACATACTGGGAAGGAACAGAGAGAGACAGGAGTTATTTTTAGGCAGCAAACTGAGGTAAAAATTGTTTATTATTCCCGCCACATCAAAATTGGGGTCAATTTGGGTGTAATCATTTACAAAACTGTCCTGGGGACAAACACGATGCAATTTGTGGCTTTAACGGGCAGAGGGGCCCGTTGGGTGCCCGGGAGTGGCACCAGGGGGATGGATCCTGAGTCTAACCCAGGCTGGGCTTTCTTATTCATGGATTACAAATGCCACAAAATCCATCCCGGAGACAAACAAAAGGGGAGATCCATCCAGCTCAAACCTGGTTTCTTGATCCTCTCCTGGAGGCACAGGCCTGCTGGGAAGAGAACCAGCACAACAGTGAGTGAATCTCCACCACAAACCAGTGTCCCTCTCTTTGCCCTGAGCTCCTCTTATTTCTCAGAACAACTCAGTGATCAAAACTCCTTTTTCTCTGGGAAAAGAGCAGGAATATTCCCTGTTCCCCCCTCAGGAGAGTCAAACAGAATGAAAAGAGAGGCTGCCTCGCTCTGAAGCAGAGCCAAAACCAGGCCAAAGTTTCCTGGTGTAGGATTTTGGCACTGCCCTTCCCAACCCCTCTAGAATTTTCTTTCCCATCTCAAGTTACAGCCCCGCTCTGCCCCCTGTTCCCACAGGGAGACGTGTCCAGCAGCAGCAGCAGCATTTGAACCCTCTGCATTGCTCCACCCTGCAAATGCTCCCCCTGAATGTCAGGAGAGCATTCCCAGGGCCTCTGGCTCAGCTCTGGGATCACTCCCTGCACGGAGCAGGGTCAGGAACCCGCTGGCAGAGGTGAAGGTCGGGGACACCACAGTGCTGGTGGCACCCGGAGCTGCCCGGGAGAGGAGAGGCTTTACCAGCTCCTGAACACTTTGGGAATGTCCTGTTTGATCCAACCATCTCCTGGGGGTGTTCCCAATCCATGGGGCTGTTCCCACCCCCAAACACTGTTTGAGCTGAGGGATAAATCAAACAGAGTCCTTACCTTTCCCTCTCAGCCATGTCTTGTTTCTCTTCTGCCCTGTAAACACAAATCACATTTGGAATCATCGCCCTGAGGTGAACAGTGGGAAGGAGGGGAGAATCCAGGGCCCTTCTGGGGTGATGGAGAAGAGAATCCAGGGCCCTTCTGGGGTGATGGATGGACCTTGGAGAGGTCAGCAATGGTCTCCAGTCCCTGGGAACCCCAGCCCTGGTGGCCCTCGTGCTCCAGGAGCTGAGCTGGACAACTCACTCAATCCTCCCAAACTGGGATCTCCCACTCAGGAACCAGCTCCAGGAGGGGTTGAGGCACCTGTGCTGACCCAGTGGGTCTTTCCTCTCTCCTTCTCTGCCTCTTGTTTTCCCTGGAATCATCCCTGCTCATGCCCAGCCCTCCCAGCAGCACTTCTGACCCCAAAGCACCGGGGAGGGAGCAGGTCTGGAAAATGAAACCAAACAAACTGCACAAACTGAAGTCCCTCTTCATGGCACTCCACAAGGATGAAGTGGCTTTTAAAATAAGCACAAGAGCTCACTTTAGGGTCAGTTTGCTGCTCAAATCGGGGTAATGTGCCTGTTTTATACAGAGAGTGGTGTCTGATGACCTTTGGGAGCACAGACAGTGTGTGATGAGGTTCTGTGGGGTTCAGAGGTTCTGTGGATAAATAGCCTTCTAATCTATGGATAAATAATAACCTTTTAATCAAGCTTCTCCCTCCTCCAGCTTTTACTGACTCAGAGAAAATCAGTGCAGGATCTCAGGGTGGGAGGAACATGGAATTTACTGGTTATAACAAAATGGGAGAAAGCAACAACACCCCAAGAAAATGAACCCACTCTCCACCCTGCCCCCCCTAAAAACGAATTTTACCTTTCTTTTCTGGCCTTGATCCTCTCTTCCTCATATCTGCAAGAAAGAGGAAATGTTCTTTAAATGGAGATTGTTCACTCTTAGTGAAATTCAGTGTTTGCTCTGAAGGTGACAGGAGCTCTGTGCTGGCACAGTGTGAGACATGAGTAAGACAAGGTTTGCCCCAGGCAAATCTGTGGATTTTGACTCAACAGGAGGTGGGATGTCTGTCCTGCCCCTCCCCAGAGCTGCCCCAAGGTCCCTCTGGCACTCACTGTAGGACACAGTCTGGGATCTGCACGTGCTCCATGGGGATGAGCTGCTCCAGCTCCTCCAGGGTGTGGACGTACTGGATCTTATTGATAAACTTCACACTGGCAGGGAGAGAGAAACAGTGCACCAAGGAGGCCTTGGAGTGATGTTCCCTCCACAGGAAATCAGAGTTTTCCTGATGGAAACTCTGCATCTCTGTGCCCACCTCCCCCCTAAAAGCCAGGGGGAGGAGTTTAAATGCTGTGGTGAGACCCCACGTTACTGCTCCTCCCAATCTCTTCAGGAGGCAAAAAGGACACCATCCCCTCAGTTCCCAGCAAATCCTCATGCCCTACCCACTGGGACAAACTCTGCTCTGCATCCAGACCACCCCAGTGTCTCCCAAAACCACCTCTGGAGTCGTCCTTGGAAGTGTCAGAGAGAAGAAGGACAAGGGAGGAACAGCCTCACCTTGGTTGCTCCTGGCCTAATGATGAGCTTAAAATCTGATTTGTGAGATTAAGCCCAGGGGAACATCACGAAGCTGTGTCAGGGGGGATTTAGGATGAATCTCAGGGAAAGGTTCTTCCTCCCCAGAGGGTGGTTGGGCACTGAACAGGCTCCCCAGGGTTTGGTCACGGCCCCAAGGCTGCCAGAGCTCCAGGAGGGTTGGGACAACGCTCTGAGGGACAGGGGGGGATTGTTGGGGTGTCCTGATGATCCCTGGGGGTCCCTTCCTGCTCAGGATATTCCAGGATTCTACAGAAATCCTGCTGCATTGTTGCTGTGGATGTTTCTCTGTTCGTAGGGGACAAATTAACCCCCAACTCCTTGAATAAAGAGGGGCAGGGGGTGGAGAAGAGCAAAGGAAAACCCTGGGGAACGTGTCCAGAACTCTTGGACAACTCTCTGAGGGAGAGGGATATTGTTGGCAGGGCCAGGAGTTGGACTGATGATCCTTGTGGCACCCTCTCAACTCAGAGTATTCCAAGATCCCGTGATTCCAAACTTCCACCCCAAACCCAGCTGAGCCTGGGAATGTTCTGCTCACCTGATGAAGGGTCGGGATATCGCCAGCACCGTCCGGATGAACCACGACGGGTGCACGATGATCAGGGCTTTGAGGTTTTTACGGAGCCTGGGGAGAAGTCAAGGCACAGAAGTCAAATCCAGAGGACATTCCCTAAACTCCCCACGCCCTTCAGGAAGCCCAGCCCAGCCCAGAGGCTGCAGGACACTGCTCTGCTCTGGGGCTGTGCCAACCTGAGCTCTGCCAAGGGGCTCGTGAGGAAAGAGGAGGCAGAGATCAGGAGGAGAGCCTGGAGGAAGTCAGAAATCTGGGATAGAGGAAGGAATTACAGACTCTGGGCAGTGAGAAAGGAGGAGGGTTGGCTGGGAGTGCTGTGAGGAAGTAGAGGAAGAGAAGTGAGGGTGGTGAGGCCCTGGCACAGGTTGCCCAGAGAAGCTGTGGCTGCCTCATCCCTGGAAGTGTCCAATGCCAGGATGGAGCAACCTGGGAGAGCGGGAGGTGTCCCTGCCTATGGAGGGGGTGGAACTGGATGAACCTTAAGGTCCTTCCAACCCAAACTGTTCTGGGATTCTGTGTGGGGAAAAGCCTGGGAAGAAGGAAGAGGCTGTCCCAGCAGGGTTCCCACCTTCTGTCGATCATCTGGTAGCATTTCTTGAGCCAGCCCAGGCCTGGCATCCTCCGCCGGGGCGTCGCCCCGTTCAGATACACGATCATGTAATCCTCGGCCACCAGCAGCTCCAGGCTGCTGATCACGTACCTGTTGGGTGAGCAAAAGGGACAAGAGACTGGAAAAAAACCACCCTGGAGTTTTCCTCAAGTGTTTCACCCCGAAATGCCTCCCAGACTCTTTCTTTGCAGGCCTTGGAAGAGGTTTGGATTCTCCCGGCGCCTCTGAGGGGTGCCCAGGGATGTGTCAGCGCAGTTCAGGCACTGATGGACACCCCAGCTCTGTTCTCTCCCAGCTGCTGAACATCCCAGACTCGCTCCAGCCTGGCTGTGAGTCCATCACTGGCATCATTAACCCGGAATGTCTGAATGCTTTGACTTATTGGCCTCGGAGCCGGGGCCAGCGACGCTCACCCCGCTCTGCAGCTGCACACTGGGGATGTTTGGCCTGGATTCAGACTATTCCCAGCTGATGTCCCTGATGCAATGAGTGCAGGGAAACCCTGGAGATGCTTCCCTCACCCTCCTCTCCCTCCCAGCCACTCACAGGAAGAGGTTTTCCATGATGTAGTGGTAATCAGCCAGGTTGCTGTCGGGGAGGTAACAGGCAGCAAAGACAATGATGGCATTGAGACCTTCTCCGTAGTATCCTGGCAAAGAAAAACACAGGCAACACTGTGAGGTTTTCCAGGGAAAGATGTAAGAGCTGAGGGTAAAAGAGCAGGAAGTTGTGTTGTCAAATTTGGGCCCGAGGTGGTTTTTGTGTCTCTGTCCAGCTCCAGGTGAGCTTTGTCCCTCTTTGGACCTCCTTCTCTAGGAGGTTTCCTCCTGGATTGGGCTGTAACGTGCGTTTGGCGTTCAGGGAAGGAATTTGGGGGTGTCAGAGCTGGTTGTTCCTTGACTTTGCTTGGGTTTTGGAAAGAGCACCGACTGTGGATGTGCCAACCTTTGCTGTCCCTCTGTAGCAGCTCAGGCACCAAGCTGGAGGAGTTCAACCCCCCCAGACTCTTCATCACTGGCCACACCAGGCCTGAGGGTTGGGAACAGCCCCTCTCTCTGTCAATTCAAACCCCACTGCAGCGACTACATTTTTAGACCCTTTTTAATGCAGTTTTTAGCACGATCCGGGCGCTTTTTGCTTCTTACGTGTAACTTCACAAAACAAACAGCAAATTTTCCTGTGAACAGGAACCAAACAATCCTGGAATCCTTGACAGAGACCCCCCCCGAGGCAGGACCTCACTCACCCCCGTGTGTCACCACTCTCATGTAGGGTTTGATCATCTGGAGGTCGATCCTGTGCTCCTGCTCCCCGATGATGACGGTCCTCCAGAGCCGGCCGTTGGTGGCACTGCCATCCTCTGTCCCCCCGTCCCCAAACAGGTCTGCACTGTCCCCAGGCATGTTCTTGGCTGTGGCTACGGGAGTGTCATCTGGAAAAGGGACAGATCTGCCTTTAATCTAATGCAGGAAGAGGTTTTGGAGACAAGAACCCCGGGGATGGTGCTCGGGTCGCGTTCCACCCGCAGCTTTGATCTGTGTAAGTTTGTGGTGCTTAATAATCCTGCTCTGTTGCCAAAATGTTACAAAAATAAGCTTAAAATCTCCTTTTCCTTGTCAACCCTCCACTGCTGATGGTGAATTGTGTCCAAAGTCATTAAAATGAGGCTGAAAAACCACCCCAACCCCTGCAAAACTCACACAGAACCAGCCCTTTTTACCTTCCCATTCCAGTTCGTTCCCGTTGCCCAGGAATTCGAGGGAATCTGTCTCATCAGGTGTTTCAATATCATCCACATTAATATCCAGGTCGTCTGGAGTGTCCAGGAAGTCATCAGAGAGGATGGAGCCTTCACTCTGGTCCAGGGAAATGTTGATTTCAGGTGCGACAAGTGTCTTCCGCTTACGATGCGCCCCGTTAAAATTTAAAGTATTGGGGGGAGCTGGAGTTAAAAGGAAAACAACTGACAGGTTGTCCTGGTCCTGGATCCTTCGTGCTTCCTCATGGATATCCCAGGTTCTGGGCTGGGGGGTGGATCAGGGACTGGGATGCACTGGGAGTGGCTGGATGGAAGTGCCCGTGTGAGATCCCTATTTCTTGTGAGATCCCTGTTTCTTGTGAGATCCCTGTTTCTTGTGAGATCCCCATTTCTTGTGAGATCCCTATTTCCTCCCCCAGGAAATTCAATTAGGGGATTCAAATCTCTACTTGCTT